AAATAATAAAAGTAAAAAGATTTTCAAAGTTTATCTTGGACTCTTTAGCCTTGATTGACAGGTATGTTTGGCTTTCATTTCTTGTTGCCACTTTACCCGTCCCTCCTCAGCTTCACCCTGTTGCCCAAATAAGTACTTGTTGGCTTTAGATAACACACAAGATGGCAGTGAGCAGAAAACCAGACCACAGAAATGAATGTCGCCTAAGGTAACCAGAAGAGTTACACAAGAGCACAAAGACCACGCCAAGCATTTTACAATGCAAGTGGCTGCCTATTTACACATTGATGCCGTGTTTCATACGTGATCAGGCTTGCAGCAGACGTGAGACTGTTTTCTCATGTTACCTGTAACATGTAAGAGAGGCAGAGAGAGGGCCACAGAAGCAGAAGAAGAAGCAGAGAAATGGAGAGGGTAGATGAAGTGAGAAAGACAGAGCTTGCCCTGATTTCATGCCGGTGTCCCAGGTAATCTGGTCTGTGGCACAAGAATAAACACTCACTAAAATAGACCTGGGTTATGTGTGTTCGCAGAATCAGAAAGCTTGTCAGTGTGTTGATCTGTGAGACACAAGAAGCGTCAACCCTTAATTTGACTGCGACCTTGGACATTCTAGGCATCTATTTTCCCTCCGTCCGCTTTCCTCTCGTCTTCTGTCCGTGTCCCCTCCATCGGAGGATAACAAATAATAATGTTTTACCTTTTTTGGCAAATATGTTACTTTATTTGACTGTTTTCAAGCTGTCTTCTCACTGTCCTGCTTTCCTTTTTTTTGTCTTTCTTTCTTCTCCCTCTGCTTCAACCGCATCCTCTCCTTCTCCCTCACTTTACCCTCCCTCTCTCCCTCCCTCGCCCTCACGTGAGACTGTTCGTTGTTAATGCTGGCTCCCAGAAAACCTGAAGTGAAATTCAATATAAGCTGAGCTCATGTTACGGACACACACATGCGCGCGCACACACACACACACACACACACACACACACACACACAGAGACAATAGGACAACTGACCGGTGCTTCATGTATACAGACCTATGATCAGATAGCATTCACACTGGTTTGTGTGAGTGTTTTGTAGGACTGAGAATTACAGATGCAGGCTAGATAGTGCTGTCAGCTGAGAGAAAGAGATGCATGCATGGAAAGCAGCACCTTCACTGTCTTTGTTTTTTTCTTTGACCTTTTATTTTCTTTCTTTAAAAATCACACACAACTATTAGTTACATATTCTAAGCACAGATCCACGTATTCACACACATACAAGAGCCACAAAAATATATCTGAACTCACACTTGATTGCACTTAAACCTTCAAAACGGCCTCAAAATGAAACCTTTCACTGTCAGATCAGACGAACGAATCGCTCCTTGTTCAACCTGTGTTTCATCTTTGTTTGCACCTTGACAGGCTTGTGCTGTTTATCATTTCTTTGGCTTATTGAATCATCTGGCTCATTACGCTTAGCAGGTGTCGACTCAACTCAACACACTCGACTACTGATGCTGTTGTGTAGTGAAATATGTTAAAAGTCATGTGGTAATGCAGTTGAGGGATTGCATCACCACATGGGTGTAGCATCAGTGTTGTCACCGAAAAATTACAGTTAGGCTTACCACGCCAAAATGTTGGTGGTTACTGGAGCCAGAAACCTCAGTGGAATATGTTTGGTTGAGACAGCTGTCAGCCAAACATCAAGCAAGCAAAAATGCCAAACACTCCTAGTTTCAGCTTACGTCAGTCAGACAAAACAGAGATGTGAATGTGATAATTTTCACCATTTTCTGACGTTTTATGGACTAAACAGCTTCTCCACAAATCAATTAATTGATAATGAAAACAATGTTTTGTTGCTGCCCTAATTATTATGTAGTTATGATGTAAGTTTGACACTAAAATGAATGTTAAACGTATGGTATTTTATGGAATTTTATTCATTTTTGCATATTTAAACTCACATTTAAGTTACAGCTGATCGTTTTTCATGTTAACCATCACATTAATGTGTGTACCATTGCGTTGCAAACCAAGACCATAATTTCAGCATCTCCACCCTGTTTGGACATTCCCATCATCCCTAACCTAATCATAACTTATGTTCTCATCACACTGTAATATTAAATTATGGAGACCGCCGCTTCACTAGATCTAAACATTTTGTTGTTGTTGCCGCTGTTGTTGTTGTTGTGATTGTTGTTGTTGTTGATGGAACATTGTGGCCCATCTTGCCCTCACATCATGTTCTTTCCCTGACAGTGGAGGCTGTGGCGTTCTGTACCCCTAATTTGAACAAAATTTAGAAGATAATACGCATGTATTTGTATACTGCATGTGTGTGTGTCTGTTAAAGGAGAGGGGCTGTTATGTAATCTGCTGCAGTGTGTGAGGTCAGGTGGGGAGGGGGCTGTGTGTGTGTGTGTGTGTGTGTGTGTGTGTGTGTGTGTGTGTGTGTGTGTGTGTGTGTGTGTGTGTGTGTGTGTGTGTGTGTGTGTGTGTGTGTGTGTGTGTGTGTGTGTGTGTAAAATATTCATGACCATCTTGAGTGCATCGTGAATGTTAATGTAGACATGTGAGAGCACTGAAAATGGAGAGGAGAGATGAACCAGGGAAAGTAAGAACTGGGTGGAGAGACAAGTATTTTTGAGGGCTTTCGTCTGTCTGTCTCTACCTCTGTCTATTTCATCCTTCCATCCAAACTCTCTGTCTTTCTTCCCACCTGCTCAAACCTTCCTTCCACCCTCCCTTCTCTCCTTTCCTCACCTCTCTTGCACCCCCCCTCCATCTCTCTCATTTTGTTTTCTTTCTCAGTCTGCCCATAAGAGGCTTGATGAGGGTCTTAGCACTTTGTGTGTGTGTGTGTGTGTGTGTGTGTGTGTGTGTGTGTGTGTGTGTGTGTGTGTGTGTGTGTGTGTGTGTGTGTTTTCACGTGGCAAGCATTAGTGTGTGTTGGGTGTGTGGCAGAAACGTGCTGTCTCCATGGGTTATAATCCAGTGGCCTGCTGCACACAAAAACACACACTTTGGAATTTAACTCTGTGGGAAATCGTATTGAAAATCCATGCAGTCTGTTTTCCTCTCTCTGTATGAGGCGTGTTATTAGCTGAAGGTCTTCATGTCTTATTCTCCTTTCTTTTTCCTTTTTTTTTCTGTCCGCATATCTCTCATTTCTTCTCACCACACACACGAGCCCTCTGTCTGTGTGCTTTCATCCTCCCCGTCCAGTTTCAAAGATTGTCCGAGTGTCTGTGAGGATGAATCATGTGCTCAAACCAATTACGCTGTTTAAAAATGAACTCTTTTCATAGGGAAGAGCACATGTGTGTATGTGTGTGTATGTGTGTGAATTGCGGATTTTGAGATACAGTTACTCTTTTACCCTTATGGTTTCTGCTCAGGCAGATAGTTTTGATTGAATTTGTTCAGGTTTTGAGTTATTGGTCTTTGACATTTCTGCAGACGTGGGACCAAGTCATTCTTTTGCAAGTCACAAGTAAATCTTAAGTCTTTGCACTTAAGACTGTGAAGTCCTGAGTCAAATCCCAGGTTCCTAAACATGTCCTAATGCGCTCTTCACCCAATGTAATGCCATTATCACAACAGGCTATCTCCTTCAACGTCATTGGATGCTGTTGGTTTGGTTTAAACAAAGTGGATCAGGGGAATTAAGTGTCGACTTGCTGGGAATGAATAACTATTAATTACCATTAAGGTAAGTTGATTCAGGAAATGAAGGGAAAGTAATTAATTGATACTTCTTTGGTTTAGGGGGAAAGTATCAAGTGTTTTCAAGTCAGAAGTCCAGATGACGTCACGAGTCATTGGTGTTAAAGTTGAGTTGCAAATCTTGCAAGATTTTGTCAAGTCATCAAAAGTCATCAAATTTGTGATTCAAGTCTGGTTTGAATCCAGGTCATGTGACTCGAGCCTCACATTTGCATTTCTGCCTCCAGTCCAATACAATAAATGTGACTTGAATTTTGTTTGTGGTTGTCACAGGCTTTAAAAAGCAACATCTATATCCAGAAATAATGACTCCATTTCCACAGATTATCCACGCAGCTTAATGTCAAATGTTTTAGTATTTCCAATGAAAACTGTTCACAGTGTAACCAGGACGTTGTTTCTGGAAAAAGAAAAGTTGCTGTTGAAGTTTTAAAAAGCTTTTAACTGAACACTGCAAACATAATTCCTCTCACCTGTATTGTATCTCAGTGGAGGCAAATATTTCAAAACTCTCTGCATGGAGAGATATCGCAAGAGGTGAGAAATATGATCCTTTTCACACACAAAAGCAAGAAAAACGATGCCAAAAAATTACTTTCTACTGCTTGTGACTCCCGTGCATGGCAAACTAGTCTTTGTACAGGTGGAGTTCAGAAATTAACTGTCCATTTAAAAAACTGTGGGGGGAAAAAAAGCCTTTTCAAATGTGTTAATAAAAAAAAAAAAAAAAATAGAGAGAATTTGATACAGTATGCTAAATATGTGCATAAATACAGACACGTAATGGCATGAAAAACACACACAAGGCTTGGACTGGAAGCTATTCTGGATGGCAGAATATTCCAAGCTTGGCAGTCTTCCTCAGGCAAAACACCCACAGACATTGTTTGATTATAGAAGCACAATTGTCAGTTGTCCTTTTTCTAGCATCTACGTGTATCAACTCTTCAGAAAAGCAGCAATCACATCCTTGGCTGCTGTACCTTCGCCACTTATTTTCTTCTTCTTGTGTCAATTAATGCACGTTAAATGAGGTGTTGCTCTGCTTCCACCTCGTATGTTCACGTTGACACACACCTGAGCTCTTGGCATAACAGGAAAAACACAGTATTACTTTCAAACAATATATGTTTGAAAGTTAAGTTGCTGTTTCTAACTCTGGTGTTTTTTTTTCTCTTCCTCTCCTCCATGCTCACCTCTCTTCCTGACCAATGGAACGGCTGCGTCGTGGCTCTGTGCCTCCCCCCACCACACCTGCTGTTGGTTTTTTTTTCCTACAGACTGATCAGCCAATCGATGGGGATTTTCAGAGGAGCTCCGCTAACCTTCGCCACCTGCCCTCCTCCTCCTCCTCCTCCCCCCCCCCCCCCCGCGACCTCTTCTTCGCCCCCCACCCACTCCATCCAGCCCTCTATAAACAAAATGACTCTGGAACTCACCGAATGGTCTTCTATATGGATTTTTACAGCTTGTAATAGACAGTAAGAAAAAAAGAGGTAGAAACCTCAATGACAAAAAAGCCATAAACATACACCACACACACACACACACACACACACACACACACACACACACACACACACACACACACACACACAAATACACACATACACACACACACAAACATATACACAAACACACCTGACACACGCACAGAAAGAAGCTAATGCACAAACTCACTCTTGGAATGTACCGCTCACTCTTCCTGTGAAAATTCAACTGCTTCCGTTGCTTTTCGGGATTTTCTACAAGCCTTTGGAAAACTGATTTTTGACTCTGGGGGGAATCAAAGGAGGATTAAAACTTATTGAATTTGAAGCTGCAGTGTTTTTGGAGGACAACTTGTTTAGAGGACAACTGATTGCTGATTGTTTTTGCTCATTTATTTAGTGTCCATAGTCTTTTTCATTTGAGCAGTTTTAGATTAGATTGTATTACCTTACATGCTGGGACACTATTAGTGTTTTTTTGTGTTAACACCCTTAACTGCTGATTACTCTTTTAAAGCAGTAAATAGATGTAACTACTACATAAGCAAGCCAGCAAGTTACTACCACAGGTTGCAGTTTGTAGCTTGTAAAGATTCTAATGAGATTTCTTCCATGAAGTCACAAGTCGTTTTAAAGTAACTACAAGTAACTTGATACAAATAGTTTTGTGGAATCAGGGAAGTTGTTGTTTTAATCTCACAGATAAATTGTTCTCAGATCAGTCAGGGTGTTAAAGGGGGCCTGCGCTTGATTTCTCATCGCGTGCATGCCCTCCGCCATGCCTCCCCAGAACACAGAGGCTGACGCCATGCAGGTCGGATCTGTGGTGGGTGGGGTTAACGCCAAAAACTCCACGACATCAGGCACGGATGAGGAGAAAGGAGGAGCAGCAGGTGAGACGGATGGAACGGGAAATGGAGGAGTGGCAGGAGGAGGCCGAGCACGCGAGGAGTTGGCGAGCGAGGGATCGATCGAAGGCATCTCCGTGAAGAGATGGGTGATGCATGGGGCCGTGATGTTTGGCCGGGAGTTCTGCTACGCCATGGAGACGGCGCTGGTGACTCCGGTGTTGCTGCAAATAGGTGAGTAAAGAGTCAACACACACATATTCACAGCATATGTTCTGTATTTTTATGCATATTTCAATATGCAGAATATACAAACAATATACATTATTTTATATATATATATATATATATATATATATATATATATATATATATATATATATATTTCTGTGTTTAGTCTGTAGACTGTCAAGAAATAGTAAAAAATATCACCACTACCTGGAGCCCAAGTTGACTTCAAAGGTCTAATTTTGTCTGAAAGTCAAAAAGAATATTAAAGATATTCCAATCATTATTATTATATAAAAAAAGGGAAAAGTAGCAAAACCAGTATCTAAAACCATTAAGTTTAGTAAGAATAAGACGTCTTATTCAGAATATGAACACTGCATCCACGTTAAGAGAGATAAGCAGTGAGTAGTAGTACTGTAGTAGTGAGTTTGTTTTTTGTCCTCACGTTGTTCTGGCATTTAAAAAGACACCTTGGCAGCTAGATGTATTCCACCTCCTGTTCACCTTGTTCGGATGGACTTCCACTGGATCTGCCAGGAGATTAGCTAGCTTGCACTCACAGAAATACACACACACACACACACACACACACACACACACACACACACACACACACACACACACACACATAAACACATTGAGTGTATACTGTCATTTGCACCCAGCGACGGCCTTTGAGATTTGGCCAAGTCCAATTTCGTCTGGAGTACACTGGAGCCCTTAGGGGAGACTGAGAGGGTGTGAAGAGTGGAGGAGGGAGGAAGAAGGGGAAGAACATGGGGGAGAAAGGGAGGCAGAGGGAGGGAGATAAAAGGCTACAGCCGTAACCTTGTTTATAATTCAAAGTCACTTCCCATGCTACCCCCCTTTACTCTCTCTTGCTTCCTTTTCTCTCCAAATCTCTCCTCCCCCCCTCAGTGGCGTAGTGTGATCTTCTAGCTTACATAACCAAGGCAACATGAGTGGCAGGTCGTTCTGTGGCCACCGTGACTCCTGGCTGGCTCTCCCAGGATGAGCCGCCACAGGGAACCAGGCTTTGAAACACTCGCTTCCAATTTTCTGTTATTTCGAAAGGACAGTACCGAGATCTGCCAAGTTTTGCGAGTTAAACATTTTTTAGCTCAATGCAGAAGAGTGCTGTGCTGTAATTGCATTGTCTGTACTTTTATTCATAATTACTGTAACCCAGGTCTCATGTGGTAGTGTCAGAGCAGGGCAGTTGCTGCATGTTTTTGTTCTATTTTTGGCCATGATTTAGTTGCCCTAACCTATTTTTGTAGATCAGGATGTGTCTGAGCCCCTCTTAGAAGATTTTTGAACCAATGGGAGACACAACTGGAGCAGATTAGTCTGCTGAAATAAATAAAACTAAAGCAGACACAGATTTTGGTGTCAAGTTGTGTGTGATTCATCACTGATATGGAGAGTTAATCCAGTCATGTCAGGCTAATTGACTGCTGTTCAATCTGACCTTTCATGCTGATCATAGGTTGAGAGGATTGCCTTCTTTCCAGATGAATATAAAGTAGATTGCACTCAGTAGAGCACAGACCTCTAAAAACATCGTGGCTGACACACCAGTGCAACGGTGTTTGAATTCCAGAAAAATTGGCTGTATATAAGGGAGTACACACGTTTACATGACTGTGCCTGAATTGTGACGCGATTTCAGGGAAGTTGTTCTGATTGCAGCCATTGTTAAGCATGAAACAGGTCAATCAGGCCCGCATTCGTCATGGGAACAGATTTATTCCCATTTAAGGCTGTGAAACAACAAACATTGACATAGCCAACTTCTGAAGGCAATATCAGTTAGTTGCTAACTTGAGAGTGGCGAGAGTGAACCAAAACAGTACAACTGTGGACTGTAAAAACCAAAACAATGAGCTGAAAGAAGCTAAAAGGCTCCGTAGAGATGAGGGGAGCTGCAGAGTCGGGTTAGGATCATACAAGAGAATCGGCTAGTCATTTGATTTATTGGTAAAATAAGAATATTGATTAGAGCAGGTTTAAAAATCCCCTCCAGACATGTGACATATATACCACCACATCAATTCCTCAGAAAGCATCTACACCTTCTACCTCATTAATATTCCAGTTTATGAATATGCAAGTTTTTCCTGCTGGACATAAGATGGTCCTACTTCACTATAAAGTCCATTCTCAGTGTATGTGCACTGGTGGCCTCAAGTTTCTACATCACACACATATTTTTGGGTGGAGGGGGACTTTAAGGTAATGTTAAGGTTTGCTCCCAGTGGCGGTTTGGAAAACTTTTACTTCTTGTCTTGAACAACATTTGAATGACTTTCCAGTTCTTGTAATGCACCCATGATGAACTCACTAGGTTGTTTTTTGTGAATCCACTTATAAGTTATATGTCTTGTATAATGTGAAGCCACACCCACTGCATTTCCCCGCCCCCACCTCTTCACCCAATCATGACCAACTGTTACACAAAGGTTGGTTTTGTGCAGATTGTTGCAGACAAACAAACAGGCACAGAGAGATGAAAACAAGCCCCCCTCCACTCCAATTCCGTGGGCAGAGGTCCAAGTTTTGGTATAACAAATATCAACCCCCCCCCCACCAACTCCATGCGGTTAATGCGGCATGCACGCTCGAGACTGACTGTAGCGACTGGAATTAGCTGGATAGCTGGTAAGCTGGCTGGTTGGCCCGCCCTGAGTGAGACCATTGTGTGTGTAACCCCCACAACATTGGGGTCAGAGAAAAAGAGTGTATGTGTCAGTGTGTGTGTGTGTGTGTGTGTGTGTGTGTGCAGCAGACACAGTTTGGTCAAGGAGCCCATATTTACACAACCCAGAGAAAGGATAAGAAACTTCTACCTTACAAGGTCTTGTGTGGAGAGCATGCAGAGCTTGTTTCTGTTCTGTCTCTGAGCTCCTGGCAGCAGTCACTCATACTAGGACACAGGCTTTTTTTCTCCTTATATGCAAGGACATACGTAAAGACTGTCGGAGCTGCCTCTCCTTCAGACATATTCTGCCAATGCTCTTAGTAAGACCATCAGCTAATGACTTAATGCAGCTGAAAGAGAGTGAGAGAGAGAGATTGAGTCAATGATGAGAACTAGATTAGGAGAGATGATAATGGGTGAAAGGAAGGAGAGAAAAAGAGAAGGAGAAAAGGTCATCTTGTGGAACGAGGAGGAGGAGAGGAGGTGATGAGTGCAGACGGTGCGTTCTGGCAAGGTTTTTTTGGTTAGGAGCTCGATGTAATAACAAGCTTTCTTAGAAGTGAGCTCTAAGTGATACAGAGAAAGCTGTTAAAGCATCGTGATACTCATCGAACTGTCAACACAAATATCTTTATCTCCATCTAATATATTCATGCTTGGTTGTAGCAGCTCCATATTAACAGGAATAGAGGGAAGAAGGTTACAGTTAGGAAATTCAGTAGCCTCAGATTAGGGATGTTATGAGAAATTGGCCTTTATGCAAGTAAAATACTAAAATTAATTAAACCTCTAATTACTTAACCTTGATTCTGGTTGAAAGCGTTTTACGTAATGGGCAATTTCTTTCACTTGTTTGAAGAAAAAAAGACCTTCAGGGATGAATAATAGACAAAAACTACAAAATAAAGTGGGTTTTTTTGTTCATCAAAAGTAAAAGATTCTCTTTTAGAAAATTTGATAAGACACAGATGATTTATTTGGCAAAAGCTTTGCTGTATTTGTTTGCCCTCTGCTAGAGAGGGCAGATCTCTAAGATAACACTCACTTTCTTGTTTGTTTTTAACTACATAGAGTGAGTCTGGTTGGGAATCAGGGCAGAGCAGTCCGAAGGTGGCCCAAAGGGCAGTTTTTCACCATTAGCCTCGTTTATTCCTAATCTGTTTATTTGTTTGACTAACTAGCTGTGCACACAACAATAGCTACAGTATGCCACCAATGTTGAACCCAAAGCAGTCCCGGACTGGCAGCACTGCAACATTGTTATCCTTCTTTGGAGGCCGTCTTGGCTTTACTAAAGCAGATTAGTACAATCCAAGAGGAAATGTCCTTCTATTCATTCAGGTTCTGTGGCTGAAAGCCTCAGCTCACTGTATTAGTGTCTTGACCTTTACTTTATTTGATTTCTTTGGGTAAACCGTCCACTGTTTCACTGTTAGACACACCAAACAGCAATAACGAGTGAATCACCTCCAGCTTCCGATGCATCTTGTCTCATGATCAGTGTACTTACCAGACAATCGCCTGAACAGTAATCCCACTAATTAAATACGTGGCGTGATGTGTGAAATAGCAGCTCAGCTTTTTTCCCCCGAAACAAAATGCTTTAGCATATTTAGCTGTCCTAATTTCAGGCAAGGCGGTCCACCTCCGCAATGAAAACACTGCAGGAAACACTGAAGTTTGAACAAAAGTGCCTGTCATGTATTTGATCCACCAGAAACACAACAGGAGCTTTTCCAGGTCCTATTTTATAATTTAGCAGCAATTTGGTAGCATGATAGCACGCAGCACAGCGAACCACTGGCATTCTGTACACAGCGTCTGAGAATTTCAAAATAATAGCCCAGTATGCTTGATTAATATAATGAAAAATGTCATCTGTTATGCCGTAGCTACACTGATTTCCCTCTGTAGCACCCTACCAGTGTTACCTGGTTGTTATTGTAATTTAACATTAATGACTCAACTGACTTTCACACTTCACAGTTTTTAGCTACGTGCTAATTTATGCAGTATTTTACTAAATTTAGCATCCTCTGTTGCTACATGTTGCATGTATTTATTGTGCAAAACAGCTTGATCTTGCATTGTTTATGCTAGCATGCCAGGTGAGCCTAATCCACTGAGTGATCCTATCATGTTAGCCAGTCTAATCTAGCAGATGACCTTGCAGACAGAGTAGGGTTATATAAATGACTGGCTTGATGTCACACAGTGACTAATCACCATAATCTGACCCAGTAATTCATGGGACGCAGTAGGTGGAGAGATGGATAAAATGTTGCATGTGTGAAGGTAGCTC